AACACACTGCTCAGCTTCTGTCCCATTTATTCCTTCCCTCTTCCCTTTGCTCTTAGTCTTCCTCAGTCTTCTGTGACCTCTGTCCGTATATTTGAGTCTGTAACACAAGAGCGGACTGTGCCAATGGTAACTTAAAACTGAGAAATATAGGGAAACGTCCAGACCAAAACTGGAAGCCAAAGAGAAGACATACAGAAGGCTATATAGAGAAGCAGCTTAACTGGCCTAATTTCCTTCATGTGCGGCCCATATGCCAGAAATGGGAATGAAGTTTCCTCGAGAGTGCTTATACTTAAAATGTAACTTTTCCACCCAAGTTGAATATAAAAGCTTTGTAAATAGGCCACTACTTTGAATTCTGATGGTCTATGGTTCATTGCAGCATAGGAATCCGATGTCTCTTGGTGGCCAGGGAGAGAGGTATGTGTTGTGTTCTGTGTGAATTATTTGGTCATCCAATGAAGGAGATAAATACTTTGTATTACTCAGAAAGGATAGAGGATAAAGTGACTTGTAGTAGTCTAACATGGATATGTGCTATTCCTAGTTCTATGCCCTTGATGTTCTTTAATGGAAAGCTTTCAAGACCATCTCCAAAAATGTCTGCTTTCATTTTATTTATCTGAACTGGCTGTTTCCAGTGAACTGTGGCCTCCTTCCTAGGCAGAGACCATACAGTAGTTTATTCCCTCTAAAAGCTTTGAGTATTCCTGTCGTTCAGGGAGTAGCATGTAAGTCCTGGGAAATGGTATTTAAACAAGCTCAACTTGACCATGATCACTAAACAAAAGCCATCACTGGACATGGGCAGCCACTTTAGGTAACCATCATACAGATAGATACTCCAGAGAGTCACTTCCCTAGGGCTACTGGACCTGAATGGAAAGATGTGGCTAAGGCTTTTTGCCTCAGCAGGCTATTTTTTTAAAGCCTGCCTATCACTAATTTCCTCAGAAAAAATTGTGAACACACCATGAAAAACAAAGAGATGGTTCCTTAGAAATTTATTGGTTACAAGTATTCCCAACTCTTTCCCTTAACAGTCCAAATTTAATTTTAGGTATCTGAGACCATATTAGAAGATCATTGAAATTGCTTTTTTATATTTTCTTATAATTATGGAATTTTTATATTTAATTGAACTGTTTAAAGTTGAGATAAAATTCATATACAATTCACCATTTTAAAATACACAAAATATACAATTCACTGGTTTTTAGTATATTCAGTATGTTATACAACCATCACCACTATCTAATTCCGGAACATTTCTGTTACCCCAAAAAGAAACCTCCTATCTATTAATTTAGTCCCAATCTCTGTCTTGACAGATTTATCTATTTCTGAATTTTTCATATAAATGGAATCATATATGACCTTTTGTATCTGGCTTCTTTCACTTAAAATGTTTTCAAGATTGATCCATTTTGTAGCATGTAACAGTACTTCATTCCTTTTTATGACCAAATAATATTCCATTGTATGGATATACCACATTTGTTTATTCATCAGTTGACAAACATTTGGGTTATTTCCAGTTTTGGGTATTTAATGGATAATAGTTCTATAAACATTAATGTACAGATTTTTTGTGTGAGCGTATGTTTTATGTTCTCTTAGGCATATACCTAGGAGTAGAGTTGCTGGGTCATATAATAACTCTTTTTAACCTTTTATTAAAGAACTGCCAAAGTGTTTTCCACAGTGGTTGTATCGTTTAACATTTCCGCTAGCAACGTATGAGGGCTCCAAAGATTGAATTTTACAAGTTATCTCATCTTGCTTCACACTCAGTAGTCATTTTAAAGGCTTATATATGTGGTTTCCCTAAAACTTAAATATGCCTATTCTAATTGATTTTAGACTTTCATGGACTTGTAACATCAATTTCTTATGTTTTAGGAATTTCTGCTACACAAGCAAAATGCATACTTATGAGCTAAAAACAAAGGTCATGGTGTTCATAGTGTTCAATTTGAAAACTATGAAATGTCTGAACAGTAGCTAGTGGTATTCTTTTGGATTCCTCAGTATCCATAAAATTCATTTTTTGTTTCTTGCTTATATAAATCTTGAATTTGTTTATCTTATGATATTTACTATCCTATCACCTTTGTTATTGTGAAGCTTAAGTACCTGTTTACTGAGGTTTAAACAATAATTAGATTACTTCTATATGTTCCCATACCTATTGCTGAGAGTTTATATAAAAAAAAAATATTCTTACATTGAAATAACTTTACTCTCAGCCAACAGAGCTATATGGGAGTCTAGATACCTTTCTAAAGAAATAATACTTGTTTAAATTTTTAATCAAAGCTGAATATCTATAATAATTTTCCCCACAGAATTTCCTATATCTTTGGCAGTTTTATATTCCTACTCTTTTTTTTATTCATAATTAGTTGAGTGTCCCCACCTTCAGGCCATACTCACATTAAAAGTTGCCAAGGATCCTGAACAAAAAGATAGGGACTCCAGCTTCCCCATCCCAAGCAGCAGCAGTGGTGGTGATGACAGCAGTTAGCAGCAGCTGGCCCTTGGCCACTCACAGCCCTGATTTTAGGAGCCAGTCCCTAGATCTGCCAGTGCCGTCATCACATCCTAACTGAGCTCTCTGAGAGCTAGGAAGCATGAAGCTTAAGGGCACTGTTACCCCAGCATCAGGGTTCTGCACTACAAGGGTGTGATAAACATTGTGTGTGGACATAGTTGATTACAATTCAATCTTAAGAGTATTGAAAAAAAGCTGGAGACACCATTTTGATTGAATTGTTACATAGCAACAATGATGAAGAAAAACTTTTCCAACATTCATCTGCTAAGCAGTTCTATAGATGTGTCACAAACAGGAATTAGATATAAAGTTGTAAAGTCTCTATAGCCCAGCCCTTTAAGCAAATCTATGTGTAATATATCACCACAAAGTGAATTACAAAGAACTTTTTTCTTTTGAATTAGAAATATCAGTGGAAAGCATCTCTGCTTCCTTATTAATGGGTAAACCTAAAGCACTAAATGCAAACATTAACAAGACATAAACCATCTGTTATAAGAAAAACATTTTATTTTATTTGACTGTCATAGTCTCTTATAATCAAAGTTTTTATCTCAGTTTTCTAGATAGTAGTTCTGAAATGGAAAGTTAATAATGACATACTTCTTAATAGTATATTCTTCTTGTCTACTTTTTTCTCTTAGAAGTACTTTAATAGACTAGCCTCACATCCTCTTGGTTTTTCAAATTTGGGGACATTCACTTTGTGCCTAAGATAAAATTAAATGCAATTTTAATTTATGTAATTTTTTTTTTTAGACAGGTTATCTGTCACCCAGGCTGGAGTACAGTGGCACAATCTCAGCTCACTGCAACCTCTGTCTCCCAGGCTCAAGCAATCCTCCCACCTCAACCTTCCAAGTAGCTGGGACTATAGGCATGTGCCACCATGCTCAGCTAATTTTTGTTTTGTTTTGTTTTTTGTAGAGATAGATAGGGTTTCACCATGTTGCCCAGGCTGGTCTTGAACTCCTGAGCTCAAGCAATCCTCCCATCTTGTCCTTACATAGGACACTCAACCTATTTTCCTTTTTTATTTTCTATTTTTTTTCCTCTCATTAAAAATGATCCTGGCACAGTGGCTCACGCCTGTAATCTCAGCACTTTGGGAGGCTGAGGCGGGCAGATCACCTGAGGTTAGGAGTTTAAGACCAACCTGGCCAACATGGTGAAACCCCGTCTCTACTAAAGATATACAAATTAGCCAGTTGTGGTGGTGTGCACCTGTAATCCCAGCTATTTGGGAGAATTGTTTGATCTGGGAGGCGGAGGTTGCAGTGAGCCGAGATTGCGCCACTGCACTCCAGCCTGGGTGACAGAGTGAGAAAAAAGAGAAAGAAAAGAAAGCAAGATAACTAGAAGGAAAGGTTGGGTCTATTGGTGATAGATATTGGAGAGATAGATTTTTTGTTTGTTTGTTTTGAGACAGAGTCGCACTCTGTTGCCCAGGCTGGAGTGCAGTAGCATGATCTTGGCTCACTGCAACCTCCGCCTCCCATGTTCAAGCAATTCTTGTGCCTCAGCCTCACAAGTAGCTGGGACTACAGGCGTGTGCTACCACATCCACTTAATTTTTGTATTTTTAGTAGAGGCAGGGTTTCACCATGTTGGCCAGGCTGGTCTACATACACCTGTGGTCTATCCCTTCTTTCTTATCCTGCCTCATTTCATACGATCCTACCTTGTTCTTTACATTCCTGTCACTCTGACCTTCTTTCATATCTTTCTCATCATAATCTTTACCACCACAGGACACAGGTCTAGAATGTTATCTTCTCTCTTCCCTTGGTTAATTCCTCTTCATCTTTCAGAACTTGAGGAAGTGTTTACTCCTCAAGAAACTTTCCCTGACTTCCCTGACTAGATCAAGTATTTCTATATATAGGCCCTCACAACACTATATACTTTTTTTCTTAGCACTTATCCTGTTTTCAGTTTTATATTTAATTGTATGATTACTTGATTAATGTCTGTCTGTCTGTCTTACTATACTTTAAATTTTTAGGGACTGGCTCATCTTTATTTTATTTTTTCCTTTTGAGACAGGGTCTCATTCTGTCACCCAGGTCTTTTGAGACAGGGTCTCATTCTGTCACCCAGGTTAAAGTGCAGTGGCACAGTCACAGCTCACTGCAGCCTTAACCTCCTGAGTTCAAGTGGTCTTCCTGCCTCAGCCTCCTGTGTAGCTGGGACCATAGGTGTGCATCACCATGCTCAGCTTTTTAAAAAAAAATTGTGTAGAGATTGGGGGAGTCTCACTTTGTTGCCCAGGCTGGTCTCGAACTCCTGAACTCAAGCAATTCTCCCGCCTTGGCCTCCCAAAGTGCTGGGATTATAGGCATGAGCCACCATGCCCAGCCTATTCATCTTTAAATTAAAAAAAAAAACAGTTAAAACAAATATACTATCCTTTGTTCTTTACCTCAGGCTATCATCCACTTACCTTGAAGTGGCTTGTCTACTCTCTTCTTGAAGAGCTTGTCTACTCTCAGTGATTCCAGTGCTTCTCATTAATCCTTTGCATTCTGGGTCTTGCTCCCATCTTTTATGGAATTGATTTTCTCAAAGCCTCTACTAGTAGTAACAGCCTAGTTAAACAAAGAGCAATGAGGCAATGAAATGAAAAGGGAGAGACAAATGATGAGAAACACTACAGCTCTAGAATCTACAAGGTTTAGCAGAGTTGGAGAAAGTCAAACATAATTTTAAGATGGCTGCAAAAATACTGGTGCCTTCTGGGAAGTCAGTAGGAATAACTAATTGAAAGAGATGATGCATTTGGTTTTGTTTCTTTGTTTAAGACGGAGTTTTGCTCTTGTTGCCCAGGCTAGGGTGCAATGGCACAATCTCAGCTCACTGCAACCCCTGCCTCTCAGGTTCAAGCAATTTTCCTGCCTCAGCCTCCTGAGTAGCTGGGTAGAGACAGGGTTTCAAAATGTTGGCCAGGTTGGTCTCAAACTCCCGACCTTAGGTGATCTGTCCGCCTCAGCCTCCCAAAGTGCTGGGATTACAAGTGTGAGCCACCGCAGCGGGCAGTGCATTTTGTTTTATACCTGTTTTGCAAGTGCTGGGACTTCCTGTTCTATTTAAGATTTAGGCAGATTATCAGTTCTGTGGCTCCCTGACAGGAGCTGAAAATGTGGACCTGGAGCTGAAGAATGGGTAGAGACAGGTAGAAGAATGGTGTTGAAAATCAGAGGCCTAGATTTTGGTGTCAGCACTGGGATGGATGAGATGGCACATGTAGAGGATGTTAAGTGCAGAGTTATGATGGGACAGCACTTTGTGGGACAGCTGGATCAAGGCCAAGGATGCCTGAAGAATACTGAGAAAGCAGAAAAGTGGGAGGGAGGGGAAACAGACACTTTGAGCACCAACTGTATGCAAACACTGTCTTAGACACTTAACATTATTTCATTTGATCCTCACAATTCAGTCTGGTCTGTAGTGGTGTTCCAGTCACCAACAGAAGAAATATATTCTGAAAAGACATGAACTTTGCCCAAAGTCAGAGCTGGGATTCAGACTCAGATCCTATCAGACTTCAAAACGTGCCCTATGCACTGCAGTCTGCCTCAGACAGGTATGTAATCAACCAGAACACTGTTCAATAGTCCAAAGTAAGTTTAAGGTTCAAGAAAAAGGTAGTTAACTACCTTTCTGGATATGAAGTAGTTGCCCTCTGCTGAACAAGAATGAGAATAGGGACTAAGGGCTGTGGTTCTGTCAATTAGGTGGTGTGGGTAACCTTCAAGAAAGCAGTTTCCACAGAATGACAGGAGTAGAAACCAGATTGCAAAAGCTGCTATAGTAGATGGTGTTGGGGCACTAGATGGAGCAAATGCCGACTATTTTCATATGGTTGGCAAAAGCAGAAAGGAGAGGGGGTTTATAATCCAATATGATATGAAAAATTGTCAGAAGATTCTCAGGATAGTGGAAGTTTGAGCATTTTGGTAGCAGAGAGGAAGGAGACATTAGACAGGCAAGGCTGGAAGAACTAGAGGGTAACTGGTGAAATGTCGCCCATGAAGAGACTGGGAATGACATCAAAGGTGTATTTGCCTCTTTTTCTTTCCTAACTCCTTTTACACACTTTCCTTTCCTATGTATCTACCACATATTTCTCTCTCCTTGCCTTAAATGTCAGTGTTATTTGGTAACATTTTGCCTCCTGCTCTTAATTTCAAAAGTGAATGAACCAAAGCTTGTGTATTTCAGCTCCCATATTATTAATTTTCATTATTGTTACATTCATTACTGTATTATTAGTTTCATTCTAGCTCTGACTGATTCTTATCCCTCTTTCTCCGCAGATCAATGATTCCTCTAGGAGAATTAATTTAGGCATTTCTGAGCTTGAGTTATACAGCCACTATGTTTAATTATGGTGGCTAACCTTTATTTTCTCATATTCATGATTTTTTACCTTCCCCCCGCCTTCTCACCTTCCATGACCCATGTACCAGTTTTAGGAACATAAATGTAATTTACCAAAAATATATATATATGTATGTGTGTATGTGTGTATGTGTGTGTGTGTGTGTGTGTGTGTGTATGCACACACATGTAAGTTTCTACTGAGAATAAGAGAATTTCTATTTATCCAATATTGTGTTTGGACAATATATAAACAGTGCCAAACCAGGAAAGATGTCTTTAGTAAGGGAGGTGAATCTGAAGCAGTTTTCTTACCAAAACATAATCTCCATGCAGTTAAAGGCATTGTCTGGATTACTTTGGTCTTCCTAGTGCCAAGCACTTAGTCTAGCACTTAGTACTATCATTCAATGAATATTTGTTGAGTACATCAAAATAATGAATGAATGAGAAAAACTTGGATAAATTATTGTTGGTATTATGAACTTTGGCATAGATTTGGTAACACTGGTAAAATTGCATTGCACATTAAAAAAAAAAAATAGAGGCTGGGCTCAGTGACTTACACCTGTAATTCCAGCACTTTGGGAGGCCGAGGTGGGCAGATCACAAGGTCAAGAGATCGAGACCATCCTGGCCAACATGGGTGAAACTCTGTCTCTACTAAAAATACAAAAATTAGCTGGGCGTGGTGGTGCGCACCTGTAGTCCCAGCTACTTGGGAGGCTGAGGCAAGAGAATTGCTTGAGCCCGGGAGGCAGAGGTTGCAGTGAGCTGAGATCACGCCACTGCACTCCAGTCTGGCAATGGAGTGAGACTCTGTCTCAAAGAAAAAGCAAAAATAGTTGCTTACTATTGTGACTGAAGAAAACAGTTTCATTATAGAGACATAAACTCTATAATGATTCACATTTTCCAGTGTGGGTACAGTCTGATAAAGATGTGACTATTTAGCCTTAAAAGAATTGCTACTTTTTTTTTTTTTTTTTAAGACGGGGTTTCTCCATGTTGGTCAGGCTGGTCTTGAACTCCCAACCTCAGGTGATCCGCCCACCTCAGCCTGCCAAAGTGCTGGGATTACAGGTGTGAGCCACTGTACCCGGCTAAGAATTGCTACTTTTAACCAAACCCAGCATAGCCTTTTTTCGAATGTAATTTTTTAAAAAATCTTTAATAAAATTAACAAAAAAAATTATATCATATTTAGATGTATATATGAGATTATCTTTTAATTCATTAGTTATAAAATTAGTGAACACTTTAACTTTTTAAGTGTTTCTTTGATTCAAACTTTACTCCAAATATTGATTTTATCTTCCATGGACTTAACTCTTTCTCTTCTGTTGCCTGATAAAATAGAAGATTGGTTATAGAGCAGTTAATCACCAGACAGATATCATCTCAATAGAGGTGGCACTAAGTCTTTTAGTTATTTATCTGATGCATCACAGACACAATTCTGGACAATTCTTTAAATGTTTTACATGTTGATACTTGTTCGTTGAATTGGAAGCATTTATCAAATATTAATGGGTCCTAATGGAAATTTTTTACTCAAGAGGCAAACTCTTCCTTTAACTAGTTTTATGGAATGTACTTTAAAAAAATAGCCTTGCAAACTTGAATGAAAGTTATAAGGAGAAAAAAATTATTCCCAGATGTATTAAGAGTGCTTGTTAAATTCAAGATCCTGATCACCGACTGTGTGTTTTTCTCTGTTGTCTTTAAACATTTCCAATCAGATTGTGTATTACAGAGACTCAGCAGCTTTTAAATATTCTTCTTGCCTCTGGCTTTTCTCATTCTGATAATTCCAGGTAACAAATAAAGTCATGTAGTTTTTGGAAACCAAATTCAAATGCTTCCATTTTATTACTTAACTATTTTTACAAAGTTTTAAAGCAAATTATAAAAGCCAAAATGGTGAAAAAGAGCCTGGAATTTTCTGGTTCTCACTATTGGCAGTTTGCCTTGTCCCACCATTCACTTTGAATGAGTTTGGGATTTGGCTGTTTGTTATTTTAATACAGCTCAAGTATACTCTCCTTTAAAAGACAGAGGAATGTATCAAAATGCACAAGGCTTAATATTGAAAATTCCATGAGCAGCAAAAGCACTTTAGAAACTGCTCCAAACTGCTTGAATACCTGCAATTTCTGTGGTGGTGAAAAGACATTACAGTAATTGAATCTCCTGAACTATTTCAATTTTACTTATTTACTGATTTTCTTTTCAGTGAGTTTTGAGGCCCCACACTAATTATAGGTTTCTTATCACCTAGAGGTTTTTCATTACAATGAGTAACAAATCAGCTGAATGTTCCGTGAGAATAAAGCAACTGTCAGGTTATAACTAGTATTATTCTGGTTTCAGTGCAGAGAAAAATGTTGCTCTAAAACACTGAGACTTACACAACTTTTACATGCTCCAAAATCAAGTTCCCAAACATATAAAATTAAGTGCCACTAGCTAATTCTTTGCAGCCAAGGTTATACATTGAGATAAAAGGTTATACGCTGAAAGTAGAAATAAAATCTATACTCCTTCCCCAGGAAAAGAAAAAAAAAATACACATTTGAAAAAATAGAAGCCCTTTTTATAATTTGAAAGAGTATATGAACCCCTGCATCCCAAGTTAAGATAAGGAAGTGGAGTTTGTAAATGTAGGCTTCTCTTTTGAGGAACCTGATGATAAGGGTAGGAAAGAGATTGAACAGTAACCATTTGTTTTGGATAGAAGCAGACTTAATCATAGGGCATGGAGAAGGAGCAAATAAAGAAAAATAATTTGAAGCTGCATGCAAGGTAGATATACATGATGGAACAGGGCAGGTCTCAGAGGAGGCACAAGTAAATGTGATCATGGCACAGGCAGATGGAATAGTGTGAATGGGAGAGAAATGTTCTATCTTCTGAAACAGGAAGAAAATAAATGAAGAAAAACACAGCTGCAGATATGTTCATAGGTAGAAGGGAGAGATTTTTACATCATGCCTAATGACTTCATTTTTTAATGAAATAGGGTATGAGGTTCTAAGAGTAAAGAAGTTATGGTTGTATAAAGAATGAAAACACAATTGACCCTTGAACAACTTGGGTTTATGGGTTTGAACTGTGCAAGTCCACCTATATGTGGATATTTTTCCACCTCTGCCACACCACTTCTCTTCCTCCTCCTTCTCAGCCTAATCAATGTGAAGAAGACAAGGTTAAAGACCTTTATGATGATCTACTTCCACTTAATGTGGAGTAAATATATTTTCTCTTGGTTGTGATTTTCTTAATAACATTTTCTTTCCTATAGCTTACTTTATTGTAAGGATCTAACACATATCCTTACATATGTATTATGTAATATGGTAAGCATAAAACATAAAATATGTGTTAATTGGCTGTTTATGTTGTCTGTAAGGCTTCTGGTCAACAGTAGGCTATTTGTAGACATTTCGAGG